CGTTTGAAACAGTGGTGTTTTAATAATATGAGACCATATTCATATGGCAGAATACTAGCATGATTTATTGAAATTTTATGATATGGTACAGGTAAGAACACGTTAATATGTCTTATAGTATTGGTACGACCGCACATCACGCCTAAGATCAAAATTAAAACTATGTGCGAATGACGTTATTAATCAGGGAAAAAATCAATTTACAGTGCTATCTGCAGTGATTTGAATAATTGCGGTCGCCAATCTTGACGTTCCCTGGAGAGCTCAGCTAAGCTTTCCCTTCTCTCCTCCTCATTCGCTCTCAAACTTATGTAGAATCTGTAATGACATAATCGCAAGATACTTAGCGCAATTTTTTGAAACTTTTGGCTCACGGAGATTTCTAGATTCATAGATGCCCACGGCTTCAACTCCTCATGTCCATAACAAGCATATCCTCGGCAAAATCTGAAGTTCTTTCCCTTAATTCACAGCTACTGTTAAATAAAAGTATTAATCTCTTACCCTTCAGAGTGTTTTCCACTTCTTCTGGCAGATTTTTGAGGGTCTCATTCCTACCGCTGCTTTGATTCATCCTTATGGAATATTCCTGTATCTTTTGTGGTGGCGTAGTAATCTGAATTGGTTTTCTCTTGACTATTTCACATTCGGCAAGAAAATGGATGACTCACGCGGAGCAAGACGTAGCGAAACAGCGAGGAAAGTTGCTGATAGGCGTTGTCTTTTTTTCATGCCTGCCACCCTTCACAAATAACTGCCAGATTTAACTGCAAATTGTAATTAGAGATGAAACAGAGCTTAAAAAAAAGACTAGCCAAGATTTATAAAATAGAAATAACCTTCTCGAATGGCGGTTCTGTATCGATTTCCCAAGTTTTGACGCAATTGTGGAGGGAAACAGAACTCTGCGTGGTTGGTAAAGCTGGCCTTGCAACGGAATCCAGATTCCGCGCATTCTTCGAAGCTATCGTACGCGCGATTTCAGCCGAAAACGATTGCATAATTGTTAATTAGATTTTAAAAAACACGACCAGCACCGTAGTAATGCAAAAATCAAGTATCTAATCGTACTGTCATCCTATTAGCAATCCCCCACAGCAGTTCGATACCAGGTCCGAACGGGTGATTCAAACTATCATAAGTGGGGGTTGCTCGCGGTGCTACATCTGAGCGAATGAACTCCTGAAAAGTAAATGATAAATGTGCGTCATTTATAGTTGAACAAATTTATCTTGAAAATTAACATAGTATGCTGCCTCATCGAACTGCTCGCGCCGCATCTTTGCTAAAATCAGTTTGGCGGCATTGTCCATCTGCAGAATTCCGTTTGAAATGCAGTCGTGGAGCGTCGGTGGAAGTCTCGAAGGTTCCATTTGTCTCTGCTCTCGCGACTGATTAAAGTGGAAATCCCGGCGTTCGTAGACGGTTCCTGGGGATTAGTATAAATGAGATATGTCTAAGTAGCATAGGTAACATCAAAAGCTTTTGAAGAAGATAAGAGAAGCGAAGAAAGAAAATTTCACAGCATCTATAGATGCTGTGGAATTTTCATCTGGTTTGAAATCATAATCAGAAATGCGACTTTTGAGCAATTATCTTTGACAAGCCTTTTCTCTAATAGTTCCTTTCCACATTTTTAGACGCTGTTGGAAAGCGCATCACCTGCTGTTACAGACCAGAAAATTCGAAATAATTAAATCAAGTTATAACAGCCCAGAAAAAAGCAAAAGCCTTTTGGTGACT